CTGGAGTGTTTCCCATTGCGTACGTGTACAAACCTTCTGGGTAAAGTGTTATTCCCATCGGATTATGAAAACTTAAGTTAGGAACACCTTGCCTGTCGTATTTTGTCATGTTGATAGTTAGCGATGCAAGATAAACTGCAACAAATTTTGTCTCTTAGTGTTTTAAAATAAGTTTTCTAATTTCTTTTCTGAGAATTACGGAAGCGAGACAAATTCTGAGAATCTAGCTTGAGAGAGACCTGGGTTCCATAAAGACATTACCGGAAGTAACCGGAAGTAAGATTGGCCGTGGGAATTTATTCTATTCTTGAAAGTAATCAAACAAGGAAGTTTTCAGCAAGACATAATTACAACTTGGTTTTCCTCTCTTCTTTGATCTATATTTGCTGTTTTTAAACATCAATTTTTTTTAACTTTTCACACAAAGTCGCTTCTTTTTGGTGGAACCCAGACAATCGCGGACAGTATTCGCAGAATTTGTCTTCTTTTGTTCCGATCATTTTTCAAATAATTTCAAACTGGTTCTTGCCAGGACGTATTTTGACGTATTTTGACGTACTCCATAAAGTTATTCGATTTCAACATGGCAAAATACGGCCGGCAAAGCGTTCCAGAGTTAAGTTTTCATAATCCAGCAGGAATGATTCTGTATCCTAGAGGTTTACAGACATATGCTATGGGGAATACGAGGGCCAGAGACGTAACAGAACTACTGGGGACCTCGAGAGGACAACATCTAGATTTGCTGCTGCTAGGTTCTGGCGATATAAGGAATTTTTTGTTTACTTTATCCGAGCTATCTATACGGAAACCTCATGAGAGTCCAAAAAGTTTAAGTTTCCATATAAACGACTACGATCCATCGGTGATTGCTCGCAATGCTGTCCTCATACAAGTCGCTAGTGAAATAAATCCGGATATCCCAGCGGATGTAGACTTCTTGTGGAATATCTGGTATAATCTGGCTCTTTCCCACGACAACTTTTATCGACTGCAACAAGTACTATGTGGATTAATCGAAAAAAAATTTGACAGCGCAGAGAGCATATTGAAGTTCGAAGACATCGCTATTCTCCGGGAATGTTGTGCTATTTGGAAGGATTGGATGGCTCTTGATCTTGACGTGAGTAAAGTTAAAGGCGATAGAAACAGACTGATTAAAAGTAAAATGCAAGAACTCAAATTTGACGTGGATGATCAATGTGACGGTGTACTATCAGAGATGATGATGGGACTTAGCCAAGAAGCAGACATACAATTTTTAAAGCCAACCCATGCGAATCCATTCTTTACGGAAATAAAGCACTGGTTTTGCGAAGGTTCCACTTCGTATGAATTCGAAAGGACAAATCCAACCTTGATTCGTCCATTTAATCATGAATGGAGATTACATTATAATTCTTGTGTGTTTGAAAGTTACTTGCCAATCGAAGGGTAAGCATAAATTTACATTAAAATATTACATCGCGAGAATGCCCATTGTTCTTGCGACATTTGCTCGCAGTAACAAAAGAGCGAAGAGCTCCGGCGAAGGGCTAACGCTCTATATGTCAGCTTTAGAAATTCTTAACGGTGGCCAGTTTTAATTGTTAAGTCAGTCGATAAGACCAAGTTATTCTCTAAATTTAATTTGGCTATATAAACCGTTGTCTGCTCAATACTAAGGGAAAAGAAATACAGAAACGTATATGATGTTTAAATCAGTTTTCTTTGATATTCAGAATACTTACTTTAATTGGCTTATCTGATTTCAAGCGTCAATATTTCTGGATTTCGTTCTTTGTCTAGGGACCAGCTCTTACGATGTAAATCTCTGACAGCAGCTTGCAAAGAAAATTTAAAATTGATGCTGAAAGGTTTCCAGCGGCAAAGGGAGAATAATCAAGCAACTTTGAAGGTTAGATTACACAGTTTTTGTCAGTCTGAAGCGAATTTTCAATGAATCAACTTGAAATTTTCCCTTTGGAAAAGCTTCCATCTAAACTGCGAGCTCCTCAGGCCATATATTTCAAATTTTTAAAAATTGTTTTTCTCCAAGCACGTAGGAGTCATCCATCAAGTAAAATCTTTCTTTCTTTAAATCACCGGAGTTTTTTCACCGAGTATGCCTGTATCATTCACAAATTAACATTTTCCTTCACTTAAATCACCAGACTTACATGTAAAATTTGCCATCTTAATTTACATCACCATTGCGCATAAGCATCACATATTGACAGTCTTATCTGGCAGTATGCAGGAAGTTTGTGACCATGGGTCTAGTTAAATGGCCTAGTTTGCTGCGAGTCCTCTGTAACTCAGTTGTGAGGCGTTCGAAGGTTACTCTTAGTGGGAGGCTTAGAGTTCTAAGCATTTTACATTAGTTCTATGGAAGATAAATAGTGAGGAACAGTTACCAAATAGCAGCTAAGGACGGAGACGGATTACGGGTCCGTAACGGAAAAAAAGTTCAGTCCGTGAGATGTGGAACTCTAAGTTTGTCAGTGCAAGGAGCATTACCTATTCTATCTTTCTTGCTAGGTTACTCTGTGGACAGGCGATGCACTTGCTTTGTGTACGAGTGGCTTTCCTCCAAAGATGTTATTTGACGTTATTGATACCAGTAATGTCTCTGATCACATTGGTTTGCTGAATGTTCTTGTTAGCTGCGCCCCGAGATTGAAAAAGTACGTTAATTGTCATACAAAACATACTTTATGGATTGAACTGGTCAAACCATCACGTTTAATCAAATAATAAAAAGTGTAAAACATGAAACTTCGTTTTGCAGACCAAACAGATCTCTCATGTTTACATCAAGCATGCTGTGGGGCGGAGGTTGTGAAAGTGTGGAGGAGTATTACAACAAATGTGTGGGTGTTCCTTTCCAACTTCTTCCCACTGTTCTGGGCTTAAAACTAGCTGTCGACATTGAATTAGGAAGCAGGTGGGAACTTTGGTTTAAAAATTTTCCTCGCTTTCAATTTAGAAAGTTGTTTAGAGATTTATCCTTTAAACTCAACACCCATTATCAAAACTTTTGATACCCAACATTCCATGTCAGGAAAATTAATAATGAGACCTGAAACAAATTATCAACAGGAGGATACATACTGCCTTGAGAAAACACTGCGTTTTTGCTAAGAGATCATCTGGGCGAATACCCTCTGAAATTTGGGCAGTGAAAGGGTAAAAGTCGATAGTAGTCTGCTATTATTAAATAATTATTTTACAAACGCGCGTTGGATATGAGACGATGGATAGCCATGGAGGCCCGCACGACCGAAGGGCTATAATCATCATCGTACCCAACAAGCGCGAGTGGAATAGCTGTTTTATTAAAAACGCGCCAAAATATTGATAAATCTTCACGACCTCATTTGTAAGAACAAACGGAAAGTTATAATGTACAAAAACACTTCCGGTTTAACTGGTCTTCATGTGTGCATGTTATAACTGTACAAAAGCCTCTATTTAGCGCTAAAATATGGACGGACATTTGTCCGCAGACATTATCTGTTCCAAGACGAGATCAGTTTTCCGAGAGCGGAACTCGAGAAAAACCGTAAGCTTCGAGGAACAGATAATTCCCAAGGACAAATATATGAGCATATTTTCGCGCAAAATAGACGTTACTGTATTCATCCTTCAAATATTTCGCACTGCAGGGGGAAAATGTTCCGAACAGTTTCCTGTTTCCTGCTCGGGGTATTCTCCTTTGAGTGTTCTCTGGTACAGCTTCATAAAACAACAAAAACGCTCTCTCATCTTGGCCTAAAGTTTGAACGAAGACTAACAGTAGTGGACGTAAGGTTTAAAAACTGAGGAACATCATTTGAGTGATATCCATGGATACCCAGCTGATCATAATGGCTCATAACCCTGACTGCTAAGCCAACGAAATCTCTTAAATTGCATTATCTAATGATAGAGCTTTTGATAAAAGCTAGTAGTAGCTGTAGGATATACTGATATCCTGTCACGTGTAGCTTGGCTTTTTACCATCTTTATCACAACCATCTTTGTCATCATTATCATCATCATCATAAATTCCGTTATTACTAATGTTTGCAGTCTTCCTCCATCCATTCTCTCCTCTAACGCGTTGGTCTTGTATCGTGATCTTTTCTCTTCGCCCTTCTTCATCAGCAAAGCTATGATTATTTGACTCGCATTCTTTTCACTGAAACAGAAAACTTCCGGACAGAATGGAAACTTCAGAGGAGATTCTTTGCTGGGTGAAGGCAGACATTAAGAGGACTCTGTTGACAATAGGTTGGTTCAACGTTAAGAATGATTAAAAAAAAAAGGAATTTCTGACCAAATAACTATTATTTTCCTCTCGTGAGTAATCGCATTGTTGTTGTTGAGCACTTGCAAGCTTTTCTTTCTTTCAATTCTCACATTCAACATATTCAAAGTGTTGTATTCTTTAATACACAGAGATGTGATGTCTTTGTTTTGTAATCGCAGAAGTGCTCATTTCCTTTCCCATTTACTAAAGGAAGAACGAAGTGAATGATCACTTTTAAACTTACGTTCTGTATCTAAAATTGCAGACAAAGCCAGTGACATTGTTGAAGGCCTTTTTCGGCTCGCTGAACGGTGCTATGATTTGCTGAATGAACAAACAAAACCACTGGTAGATGGACAGCACTTCCTTGCGAGTCAGGTGTATGGCGTAACCTTGTCGTCACCTCTTACACTCCTTCGAATTATTCATCAGATACAACCAGTTGTTAAAGGAGGAGGTTAGAACGATCATCGATCGATTGTTCGACATAATCCAGACTCTCTTTCTTTTTTCTTTTCTACATTTTGTGATTGGTTTAAAATTCCAGTCGACCGACTACTAAATCAAATAAATGCAAAACGGAAAGCTCTCACGACGGAAAGCTGTCACGACTTGATCTCTCATGTTTAAGAGCATTCGTCGTCGGTAACTTTGAGTTTCTAATGACCTCTCTGATTTTCTCCTTCAGGTCGTTTTGATTGGTAGATGTGGTCATTTTATTGCTGTTTGTTAAAGCTCTTATTCGAAAAGTGCTCTGTTTTGAACTTTTGTAATAAGTTTTGAAAAAAAGAAACAAAAGCATGAAATAGAAAATAAAACACGGAAAAGGTAATTCTGCCCTTCCCTTACACTTTTGATCTGTAGTTTTCCCTTTTCACGCTCTTTTCATAACTTTTTTTTTCGGTAATGCACGGAATTTTGTTTTGAATATTGTATTATGCAGTTTTTCAAACTCCTTTCTTTGCTTGTTTATCTGCCGATTAAAACTAATTTGAGTTTTCTTGTTAATTGCTTTTCCAGCCGACCGAATATTTGAACTTATCGAAACTCTTCTGCCACCTGATTTCCACCAAAAGCATGGTCTGTCTTGGAATTTTCTCAAAGCATCGCTTGGGAATGAACGAGGTATTTTTGTTGCCATAGACTCCTTATATTTTTTACTGTTGTCACACTCTTGAAGAGAATAATATATATTAACCGAAAGTTTTTTAGCTTAAGATAAGAATCCTTAAGGTGATATTTGTTTTCATTATAATAGTAAACTTGCTTTTTTGTTTTCGTTGTTAATGTTATTGTTTTTGTGACTTTCACAAATTTTACTGTAGGGCCTGTAGTTGAAATAAAGGTTAACTGTAACATAACGGTAGCCTCTTGGTACAAGGGAACACCAATTCCGATGATTTGCTTTCTGAAATCAAGCCTGATTCATCAGGCTAAGGCACAGGTCAGTTATTTAAATAACTATCTTAGTAAACGAGTTTTGTTCGAGTACTGCGATTGTGGCAGACCAAATTCTTAGAAGCAAAGGCACAATAAATGCATTCCAACGTGCTGCCTCGAAAAGAAACCAAGTGGCAATACCAACAGCCATGCGCTTTATCATGCCTGATAATTAAAAACAACCAGCAGCGACAAGGCTAACCGACAACAAAAAAATATTAAGGACGAGACAAACGAGACTTGCTGTTCGCTATAATTTTCATATGTGCTGCGGGAAATTATTCTTAAGTTCTTACAATGTCTTAATTTTATGGCTACATAAGTTTCTTTGGAAATCTCTTGACATTTACAGTCTGCCGTTTGACCGTTCCGCTTGTGTGTGATGGACTGCAACTTAATTTATTTTAGTGTAAGTTTAGTGTTTATTTTGACCTGTTTCCGACCGTGTAACCTTCAAGGACAAGTGTCGATTCACTTTTGCCGTGACTCACATGATCGTATGCCCAAACAACGGACTCAAACGCTTTTTCAGATTGTGTTCCCCAGATTGATGGGTAGAAAAATTAGTGGTACTTTATAAAAAGTACTTACTACTAATTCAAAGGTCATCTTTGTTTTTCAAGATGCTCTCTGGTCAGGCAATATGCACTGAAACGACGTTTCCATCAATTTATAACAGCTTACGTTACGATGACCAAGCCAACATTGTGACTTTCCATATTAGTGAGGAGGACTGGCACGAGTTGGAGTCAAATGCGTTCATGTGGATAACCTCGAGTGACATGAACCCTGTCATAAATCGTGACCTATTGTTTCTCGGAGGGGAAACCATTGAAAGAAACCAACGCGTTGATCCGGTCGAGATATTTGGCTTATTTTCAGTGCAGGCTTTTACTGTGATCGAAACAAATGCGAACTGCCAAGTACTGAAGGTAGCGTTACAGTTAAAACTCCTGCAATTTCATTCGAAAAATCCAGAATAGGAAAATTGATAAGGGTACTATGAGTCTCCTTTCGTTTGTAACAGTTACAGTAACTCCAGTTCATGATCATCTTACGATAAGTTGTACTTCAGGGAGAAAAAACAAATTGCAAAGAATAAAATTTGAGTTGAGGCTGGATAATTATAAAATTTTACACGGGACCAACTTGGACTATTGGTTCTTTTCGCCCTCAATTTCTGAATTCGCAATAGTTTAGTGGATTGTTAAACTGCTGTGTGGATAAATCTTTTTAATAACTAATGAAAGTTACGACAAAATTTCCGAACGTGATTGGTAATCACCAGCCCGATTTGAGCACTATCAGGACATTGTACGCGTTAATAATGGTAATAGTACCAAGAGGATTCCAATTCTTGTATGTAATCATACTCGTGACTTGCAAATCAGACTTCCGTTTCGCTGTCGTCCGCTTTTGTTAATCACTCGTGTGATTACACACCGAATTGGACTCCACTCGGTCCTATTACCATTATAAATCGGCAACCTTATTGCGAAACAAATGGAAGACGTTTTAAAAAGAAAATGATCTCCACAGGTTTCTCTTAATTTAGTACTGTAATACCGTTGGTAGATATAGCTTCAAGTTAATAAATAGTAAGATGATACCCACAACAGGATTGTTAAAACAATAATAAAGAGATTCATACTAGCTGTCTCCTTTTTTTTTGAGATCCACAAAGTCGAGGAGAGTAAGTTCTCATACTATGCAGAACTTGACATACTGGAATTAGAACAATGCAAAGTCAGCACAATGAAGATTAGCTTTTCTCCACCTAAATGTCCGGTTGAACTCCAAATACACTTCGAAGGAGCTACAGGGTAAGGATGACTGCATTTAAAACATTGGTTTTATTTTACTTAAATGTAGTAGTTTAATGTTTCTCGTTGTATCCGATCGGAACGTTTTTAACTAAAAAAAAAATTAATCGAGCCTTTCAAAAAAGTAAATAAAAAGGCAATACAAGAAAATTCATGAGGATAAAAACAAGAAAAAAACTGCAATAAAGTTAAAAAACAACAACAACTGTCAACAAACAGGCAATCTACAGTAGACGCTGCGTTTAATTATCAGCTCTCTGACATCACAAACTGTAGCCCTTAAAAAGCGGCGATGATGAACCGCAGAACCGAGATCCTTCGCTGTACAATATGAAAAATTCTCGACAAAAAGCTGCGGCAAGTATGTGGCTAGTTACATTTCGATTAGCTTCCTTTACAGAAACGCCTGCTCTATCAAGCATAAAGGTTTCTTGATATTTATTCTTACTTCAAGACAAATATTGCAGTACTTATGACATACTGTAATAGAATTCTTCTTTTTAACAGAGATCCGCTGCAGATATACTTTTCATGTTCTGTGAATGAGAACTTGGCCAAGTTTCAGATTTCACGCAAGCGCAAAAAAGTTCTTTGTCACATTCCTAAAAGAGAAGATGGAACAGTGGGAGAACTTGTGATACAGAACGTGGCTCCAGTTCCCTTTCATACCATGATATTATGGGATGGCAAACAGCATGACAAAAAGTAAGTTCGATCGCAACAGTATGCGTTACTAATACCGTTCAATGCATTAAGAAATGATGCAACCGATCAGACTGCCTGGAATGGATGTTTTTAACAATCATCTACAATCAGGTTGGAACTATGACTAAACTGTATGACCAACTTTTGGTGTCAAACGAAAATTTGTAGGGAAGAGCTCCCTGGGGCACCCCCTGGTTTCCGTGCGGAAATTAACGAAAGCCCGGCCTAAATCTGACAAGGCAAAATATTTAATCCAGTAATTTTTTTCATAGATCTTTCAGAAAGAACGTGGCAAGATATATGTTGAACGAAAAACTCCTTGCATATACTTTCTCTAAGATCGCTTAATGACACGCCATTCATACTGCTGAGATTGCAAGGAGCAATCTCTGAAAAATAGAACCGCATTTTGAGAGAATTGTACGAAGGAATGAAATTAGCTTGATGCACGATTAGCCTTCACCTCGATTTCCTAAAATCTTTCCTATTCCTCTGAATTTTTCAAGGAAATAGGGGCTGGGATTTAAAACAAAGGCATTTTGTTGTCGATGAGGGCATTTTCCTATTTCCAATGTCTTTGAGGAGAAAATTAACATTTGAAAATATTTAGGGAGAGTACAAAGTTTTTGAAGGTTCTTTAAAAGAAGTGCGGCACGGGAAACGACGCCTAGAGGCAACAGAATAGAAAGTCAAACATGCAAACTACTCGAAGTCTGTTTTCCGCGCCAAGTCCTGGCGGATGCGTAGACGTTATTCAGGTCTGTCGTTCGCATGTTGGAGCAGATAGTGTCTGAGGACAAACATCTGTGTTTATTATATGGACGAGAGTGTTTTACCGAGAACTAAAACACTCGTCGAATCAATACGACCACTACATCCGGGAACCAAGTATCGTATTTTTTATATGTAACACGAGGGGCGAAAACAAAAGTAATTCTTACTTGTATCTAATGATTCAAGTCAGTGTCAGTAATCGAGTTTTCACCGAGCCTACAGAACTAATTCACATTTATTTTGGCCTAACTGACGGTGTTGGATTTAAACCTCTTTTTATAATTTGGGCAATAAGTATTTTGTTTCTATTTATACCATGTATTTGCCTCTAAGTCACCTCGTTGTACTCGATTTCGTGTGCCCAGATGGTAGCATTGATCCAATTTTTCAATCGCTAACTTGTATATTTATTGTCCATGCCTAAAAAGAAAATTACAAGATATGAACTTTATGTTCTCGTGCTACGAATAATATCGTGAGATTTTGTTCTAGCCACTCGAACACAGAATTCACATCTTCTCACCTCCGTGCAATATCCTCCACATATTTTCAAGCTAAATAGAGGATAATTCTTATTTATTTCAGAATGTTCAGAAAAATGTTTCGCACAAAACTTGATGTTGAGCTGAAGTCTCAAGTAAAAAGTGGTTCGCCGTTTTTTAACCTCAGGGAATCCATAACCATGATCTTGAGCAAACATTCAGACGAACCTAGGGTAAGCTCTGTACTTTTGCCTTTGCTAAAATTGTCTAACAAAGTCTAAGCTTTGTTACCACCTCTACCATCATTTAGCGTTGGCGTTCACTAGACCTACTTTGATCTAGCGTCGAAAGTTATTTAATATTTATTTGGCAGGTAATTTAGTGTTAACAACTGGGTTGTAAACGTAAATTAGCCACCGTAAAGGGTAAAAAAGCTGACGTTTCGAGCGTTAGCCCTTCGTCAGAGCGATTAGAGGAATTGTGGGTTGTGTGTGGATTTATATGTAGAAAGTGGAGCTACGCCATTGGTGGGAATATGGTGACGAGAAAACAGGAATAAATTAGTTGAATGAAAAGCGCTCGTTGATTCCGTGGGGATTAAGGGTGCCGATTTGGAATATAAATTTTTGTTCTAGTGTTTTACGGCTTTCTAGAACACTAGACTAGAACACTAGAACAAAAATTTATATTCCAAATCGGCACCCTTAATCCCGACAGACAGTTGACAGTTGACAGTTGTTAACACTAAATTACCTGCTATACTCTCCCACCGACGCAGCACCACAGTTTCTTTAGAAATTTACCCCTTTAATATTTGTTTCGTTTGCTTTACTAGATGCTGTGATTGATCTAAAAATTTTGCGCTTTTGCCTCAACAAATCTAATGAAAAATTATACACCATTTGCAGCATTTCAGTTCACTCGTTTTTCCTATGTGAGCATCCCGACACATCGGGGCGTTTACATATCCTTTAGACACTCCAGGCATTATTCTTGTTCTGGTTTTATTATGATCAGTTGAAAAGCGCTTAAATTTAAGCCTCAGGATTTATATGTTTTGCCTTACAAAAGTTTCATGTAATGTCAAGCTCGAAGGGAGAGTATTTTTTTCGAAATAAATGTAGACTACAGTTCAGTGAGCCACCTTACATACTTGAGAAAAATTTGTTTTCGTCTCGTCACGAGCGTGGGACAAGCTTCTATTGTTACCTTTATGGCCCTTATCATTGCAAAACGTTTTTAGACGCCATTAGTGCATGTTGTTGATGAGCTTGGAATCATTGAGAAGCCTTACCAAACACAGGAAAACATGTTAAAGAAAAAGGGCTTTGTTATCAAAGTACAGGAAATGTACAAATGGAAGTTTCTTCCCGTTGCGAAAGTTGCATTCTGTGATTGTCAAAGGTTGGCTGACAAGCTTCAAAGTGATCCAACAGACAACCATCCAATGGCGAATTTCTTTTCCAACACCTGGTTACACTTGGTGCATAGAATCTTGGCTGACGGTGAGGTCAGTTCAGCATAATTTTATCAATAGTAATCACAACTGAAAGAAAAACAGTTAAAAAGAAATTATAAGAACGTAAGCTTTCACTATATATTTGTTGGTTTGGATAGAAAATAAATAAATACATAACAAAATTCCGAGAACGTGAAAAACAGAAAGATTATATATTGTTAAAATACCCTCTTTTAATAGAACGCCAAAATTTCATGAAGTCGATTTCAACATGACTTTATTTACACAGGACCATGGACGTTTCATGCCCAAAATGCTTCATGCTTAAAAATTTTCTACCTTCTAGAGAGGCGTAGCGGCTTGTCACTCATTAAACTCTTCTATAGCATTATTCTACATTTCTTTTTGTTGACAGGAGAAGACCCTATTTCATAAAATGCTCTACACAAATGCCACAAGAGTAGATCAGGATAATGCATCTAGTGTTTGGAAGAATTCCTTTATTACTCTTTTATTCCCTAGACAAAGAACTCTTGACTTGTTTGGTAAGTTGAACTACACAAAAAACCTTTTTTTTCACATGATTTACTATCCTCAGTGAACTTCAGCTTAGAAACTCTTTACGGTGGCCAATTTACATTATGAAAATAATTGATAGAACCAAATTATCTGGTTTTACCATCCAGTAACGCAACACCACAATTTCCTTATAACCATAACTCCTATAATCAAATGTAAACGGTTTCTTTGTTTCAATGAATCTACATTGCTGCTAAGCTGAATTTCTCGTTTTATTGATTTATCTATCAATTCATACGTTTATTATTTAATTTTTTACCAGTGCCCATTCATTTGTTCATTCAAAGGATCCCTTTTCTTTTTCCTTTTATGTTTCGCGGGAACAGCTGGATTGTTAAAAGGACAAATGAAAGACCTTTTTAACCCGTGTTCGTTTCCTAATCAAGCAAGACAGCCCGAAGAGCACTCCACCCGAGACAGTTTCCCTGCATTCTTAGCGGACTTTGCACGCCAAATGGCTCATTTTAACACGGGGCCAAGAGATCATACATCAGGTTCTGACCCCTCAGAAAGGGGACCTCCTCTAAAGGAGGCAGAATGTGCCTTCTGCCATTCAAAGGAAGGCACTCTAAAGCGATGTCTTGGCTGCAAAAGGATCGTCTACTGCAGTAAAACTTGCCAGAAAAACCATTGGAGGGAACATAAACCAGACTGCCAAAGTATTTCTTAGATCATCAAACTGACAAGTTGTACCCCTCTTCGGTTCCTTTTCAAAGCCCAAAACTATCATCATTAGCCACGAAAGTTACCAAAATTAATTAAAAATCGATAAAGGCTAACAAAACAAAGCAAAACAATGAATAAATAGGAGGTAAAAGATAACCAAGTTCAAAATGCCGATCGAAAAATTCCTATCATCATCCCGTTGCCTAATGACACACACACACCCGACTTTTGCGGACAAAATTTTATATGGTCATTCTGAGTGTTAACTCAATTTTCTGAAATTCTATTTGATACTTTAAAAACACTCTTTTTCGACGCATCTGCAAAAGAACCGAGACATTTTTTCGATCTTACAAGGATAAAAGTCGATATCCTTATTCTTATCCCCTTTACTGGAGCCGACTTCTGTGGATAGCACAGCGTTGGCTGCATGATTGCCTCTTCGAGAGTAGAACTAACCTTCGCTTCGTAAAACCAAATGTAACGTTATCTCCAATCAGAGTGAACGGAGTCCACTAGCAAACTATGGTTAAGCCGATATTCCTCAGCCATTTCATGGCCGGGTGGAGACATACATTGTCACTAAATCCGTCAACAAGGTGTCTCTATAAACGCCTCATGAACTGCTCTGTTGCTTCGTTTTCAATTACCCACAGTGTCACCAACACTGATCGTGCACCAGATGCCTAGAACGCTCTAGTAATTCCGATGACTCCTTCGACTTTGATCTCTCTACGCCGCTGTGACAATAGTTGGGTAGCACCAATTTAGCTCTTACTTTAACTTCTGAAATATCAGAGATCATCAAAAGGTAGCCTTCTTCATCTGGAGCACTTTTAACAGTAGGACAAGGCAAAAGGGCGATCTCTCCTGTGTCGGCGTTAACATGTGCAACGACATGAATCAGACTCACTGGATAAATCGCCGCTATGACATTGGCTGAGTAGCACCAGTTTAGCTCGTACTTTAACTTCTGAAATGTCAGAGATCCTCAAAAGGTAGCCTTCTTCATCTGAAGCACTTTTAACAGTAGGACAAGGCAAAAGGGCGATCTCTCCTGTGTCGGCGTTAACGTGTGCAACGACACGAATAAGACTCACTGGATAGATCGCCTGAAGTACCCCCTCTCTGGTGGCACGCTCTCCTAGCAAAGGTTAAACACCCAGCAGTTGTCCGATCGTCTCTGCTTCCTTTCTTGCACCGAGAAATTCTGTGAAGTTCGCGATTTTTCCCTTGTAACGCGCCTTGCCTACCTCAGGATCACCCACAAACAGTGCATCAGTCTGACTTTGATAGTCCGCTTGACAGTCTTAAGCCAAGCCAAACTCAGGTCTCGTGCTAACCATACTTTCCGCTTTTGCCCTTTTGCTTATCGTACCCTTGTTATGCACTCCGTTCTTGAGAACATTTCAGAATAAGCCTACCAAGTTTGTATGACTTGTGACAGTAGTAAATATCAGTGTGGGCTTTAAGTCCACTAAGTTCCATTAGAAAGAGATAACCTCTTTGCCTTGCATCTTAAATCTTAGATTTAAGGGTGACTGAAATTTAAAGTTTCCATACAAACATGCACTTACACAATCGCGTCAGCAGTATATGTTCTTTTCCGCCGTCGATCTTTATTCGATTTAAGCACTAGTCCGTGCTTTACCATGGAGGTAATAGGTAAGTTTGTCACAACTAGACTTGTGATTGAATATTTCACAAAGCTATGAAGTATTATCATCTCTGTTATATCCTGTCTATAACTATTTATATCTCGCTCTTTTCTTGGTCCACTTTTCGCCCTAAATGGAAATTACCGTGACAGTTACACAAGTCACAACCAAATAATGTTGTCTGTTCTACAATGAGCGTAAAAATTGGTTGACACATTATGTCTGAACAGTCCTATTTATGTGTAGAATAACACTCTAGTGTCTACCACACTCTAAGTCATTGACAAGGCCCCAATCCCCATTCAATGTTGCTTCTACAGTACAGTATGTAGCTAAAAGGTTATGGAGTCACGATACAACATTCCTTTTTGGTGGGGGGAGGGGGGTAACTTGGGCGAATAGGTTACCTCAACAACGCGAGAGGAGATAAAACTGAAGTAATAGGAGGTTGAAAAGGTCAATGTGTCAACAATTCTGTCGCTGATTGTAGGTCTAAATTTTTTCCAGAGCATTCAGGTGGCAATTACTTCACAGAATTATTTCAAAACGGAACTCAACGTCAGGATATATATTTCAGTAATTACTATGATTATGCGTAATAGGGAGGGCGCCCCTCTCCCTCTCTGTCGTTCCTGGCTACGAATCATGTTAATTTATGTAAAAGTTGACTACAAAGGCACTAAATAAATGAGTTATGTGGGGTTACTCGCTGCCTCTCTTTGATTATCATCTTAATCTTGAATCATTTAATTATTTTCCAGTAAACTCTTTTCCACGTTTAACGTGTCTCAGTAGTATGGATGGTAATTGCGGAGCAACTGGTCACGAAAACAATCCCAAGCCTGGTTTTTTTTCGAAAAAAGCTGAAAAAGAGCGCGAAAAATGAGATTGCACTTTTAAGGTTGTAAACAATCATGAATTGAGTCACGCTTCTCCATCTTGTCCGCTATTTTGTTCTTCGTTGTTTTCTTCACCAGCAGGTTTTTTTTGTACTAGTTTCATTTTCATCTCCAAGATTGGCACAGGTAACGCAATGACCAAGGTGCCCACTAAACAACACACGCTTCCCATGATCTGGCCAATCGCTGTCTCCGGTGACATGTCACCATAGCTGTTAAGGAAGAAATTCGCACAATTAAAAAATTGCCGCGTGGAGAGTCTCCCTACTCAGTGAAGTACAATGGATGTTAGCATAAAGTTTACGGCAAACAGAAGAAATTAATTCTGAAATTTCTCGATTTCTACTCTCTCAAAAGAATATTTCGAAAACTCAATTTTTCAAAATTCATCGAAACTCTTTTCTCTTAGTGTCCGCCTAAAGCAGTTGGTAAGGAGCCCTTGTGTATCTTGTGTCGTAAACGTCACGCATCTCAAAGCTTTTAATATTTCTCATAATTTATACAGGATGTAGTTATTAGGCTTATTCCCATTGGGACAAAGTAAAGCCAAGGGACTTTTCTCACGAAAGGTCTTATTTCAAAGGCAATCGCTCGATCTAAAGCTATTATTTCAGACCTGAATGAAGATATTTAGTCTCCCGGGATAACTTTATTTGGGCTCCTCAGCGTTTTGTTTTAGTATTTTCGTCGGAGGCGAAAACACACCATATGTGACGTGACCAAAATTTGCAGCATTCGATCGATCGTGTGTAGATCTTCCCGAAAAAAACGGATGAGCTACGATAGCATTTTGATTTGGTAATCGATGATCGATATCTACTCTTTAACGATGGACTCACAAACAAAAATTACAAGTACGTGCTTCCAAAGTTTTTGAAATTATTGCTGCTCGTTCTCCCATTTTTTTGTAACAGTTGTTCAGTGATACTTATCTTGAAAGAAAGATTGAAAAGGAGTTCAACGAACCAATTACTTATTCCCTGATCGAAATTACCTCTTACTCGTGAAGAAAAGTCAAGGATGTTTTTAGAGGTTCTTCCCCATCCCTAGCCCTACAAACAAACCACAAAGAGCACTGACTTACCCAGTCGTTGTCATAGTAACAATAGCATACCACATGCTGTCCGGGATGCTAGAGAAAGTTGTGCCCTTGACTTCTTTCTCAGCATAATACACAGCGGTGGCAAAAATAATAACACCCAGTCCAAACGAAAATAGAATAAATCCCAGCTCTGAGGATGAATTTTTTATCGATGAACCTAGCGCTTGAAGTCTCGTGGAATGCCGAGACATTTTAAACACGCGGAATACACGGAAGACACGAAGAATCGTTAAGGCATCGAAATCACCGGCGCTTTTTAACCCAATGTCGAGGTAGAATGGAATAACCGCCGCAAGATCCACGATACTTTGAAATTCTTTCACGAATTTGCACCTGTGAGGCGCAGCGAACAAGCGAAGTAAATACTCCAGTGTTAAGACTACAACACAAGTGCCGTCGACGTATTGAAAAGCTTGCTTGTATTCTTCACCACATGTTCTTCCACCGCAGGGTATCGTCTCTGTTATGGTTGTAACGATGCTTAAAATAATGGCGATTCCAATTATGTAGTACACAACTTTAGCTGTCTTTGAAGATTGCGGATTTTCAAACAACAACCAGAGTTGCTGTCTGCAGGTTTTACGCTGAGGAACACACTCATGGTGAATCGCTTCAACTTCTGACGGCAAATCTCTTCGACACACAGCAGAATTCGCGTCATGGTATTCCTCGAGACAACACAAACCCAAAGCATCAGTTGGAATACGAAAAAAATCAAGCTCGTCTTCGTAAAATTCGCCGCATTCTTCCAGAGAAAAATGAAGTTTACCATAACGATAATAGTTCAAAATGTGACGAAAAAAGCCAGGGTCCCGCTCAAAGAAGTATTCTTTTCGCTGTGAGTCGTAAAAGGATTCTCGGTCACTGCTTCCTAATAGAGTTGTAGGGTATTTCTTCAGAGTATAGTCCCAAGTTTCAAACTTCCTCCCACTCACATTGAGAACGATTCTCTTGTCCTTTAATTGCTTTCGATGAAGAATACTGAACGGTTTTTTTTTAAACACCGGCGAAATTCCAACAAGACCCACCTCTCCGAGGGGGAGCCAATTTTCCAAGTCATTCACGGGTTTGTCCTTGGAAGACATCGCGATTAGAGTTATCAGTAAATTTGATCAATTACGATTGCACGACAACTTAACTGTGTCGGCAAAATTGGCGTCTTCTAACTAAAGAAACCCGTAACACGCAGAGTTATCAAACAGAGACTCATTAACGTACACTAAATTGTTAATACGTACATAAACATCGGCGTAGATAATTGCGCCTAACAATGACATGGTGGACTGAGAGGCCCAATAAATCTTAACCGACAACAGCGTTACGCATTTGAGGGCTGGTAGAAAGTTCGCGATGAGGAATAAATAAGATACAATTCTAAGGGGGATTTAATCAAAGAGAAGCACCGCTTTGTGAATCTGTCTCGTTTGATTGTTTATGTATTTATAAGATGGATACGGGTACCTGCACCGTTTGCACCAAAAATTGTTAACCACGTGTAAAGAAATGGTGACAAACTTGTAAAAAAATTAAACAACACAAAACTGCAACACAACATCCCTAACAAAAAAAAATTGTATCTTGATATGATTTACGCGAGTTTCCATCTTCTTAGTTATTACATCTTCTTCTCGGTTATTTCATCAATCAAAGCGTTCTTTTCGGTGCGCAAAAAATAAAGGAGAAAATTCTGACTTTTAAATTGGATAGATAATTGATCCTGAGTTTGTTCTAATCTGTGGTAACGTACAGCTTCACGCAAAATAAAATTGGGAAGAAGCAAGTTATACGAATTGATCTCCGTGTTTACAAACACCCCTGTGGATAAGCTTAGACGTTATAAATTACGAATTCAGCGAAAGAAAAGCGAGCATCACACCTGCTTAAAGCGGTTCATGTAATATGCATTGTGCCGAGAACAGACCATATTATTTACGACTTCCGTTGTTGTGAAAATCTCTGTATGCTTGAAATAAAAAAAAATCAAAATAACACAAATAAAAAAACTGTCGAAAAAAAGCGTAATGTCAGGCCATCTTTTAAAACTCAGAAGGACATTATTTAAGCAACAGACTTCACTTTCTATCGGACTACCGACGTAATAACCGAGTGTTCTGCCAACATCCCAAGCGGGTTATCTATCATGTTGATAGGTCGATAGGAAATTCAATCTATTGCTTTCATACAATAAACTTAAAATGTTATAGTTTTCTATTTTTTTACCGGTGAAATAGGTTTTTGAACGATGAGGGCGCTCGCAGTATCTCGGGAATTTTATAATTTACCTTCTTTGGGCTTAAAGGGCGACACGCGCCTTCCTGTTGACTTGGGATGGCCCGCTTTGATCCCGAGAAATGAGGAAAAACGCTTGAAACTGGTCATTAATAATCTCCGTAATCTCTTTTAACCCTGATGTCGTTACAAGAAAGATAGTTTCTGGTAGTCTTGGTACCTCCAAAAACAAAACTTCTAAATATCAAGACATCTTTATTTTTACGCTTGTTCAAAAATTCGCAATAATGAAATGAATAACTAATATTAAGACCATAGATAACATCTACTGATAACATAAATGCCTTTTATTCATGAAACTAATAACTCATTTTATTCTGCGACAATCCAGCAACTTGGTGGTGTTTTTTGTTTTCATAAGCCAAAGGGTAGAAGCATGAGCTTACCAGGGGTCAATTACGAAGGAAAAGGGTACGGGGTACGGTCTCGTTTCTCTTTTTTATTCAATGCGCAATATGGACGATAGATGATTTATGCAGCTTGTTTAAAAAACTCTGCACACAGTTTTAAAACAAAGTGACGTTTGATTCCAAATTTATCAAATTCGTCGTTTTCATCTACTGTGGGAAAAGCTTTGGTTTACAACTTTCATCCAACGTTATCATCAACAAAAGATATCAATGGCATGTTTTTTTTTTCGATGGATAACTATCATGCATTCACTTCCTTTGTCTCATACAAATTAACGGAGAAAAAAAAAATCATGGTTAGTTTTCTAACCATGCTTCAATCTTTTCTTCACGTGTTTTTGGTCTCCTTTTGAAAGGATTTTTAAATTTTCTTTTCTTTTTGACGGCTCCTTGCGCCTGCTCTTCCTCACGTCTTTGATCCTCCATTTTTTGTTTTACGTCCCTGAAGATAGGGGAAAAAAAGGCATAGCTCAAAATAATTTTAATTCGTATGTAGCTCGCAAAATTTGTGCCTACAGAGATATTTCGATTATTGCAGTAAGACTTGTTTCGATACATTAAGAAACTTAAAAATGACCACGCTTTGAGTATTTCAGACAGGCTTGAATCGCTCGCGCTGTGATGACAAAAGAATGAGTTGGGGGTGGGGGGAAGGGTATGGGGGTGCCATAAGATTATTGGGAACTCTCCAGCCACCGTTATTTCCTTTTGCAAGATCCTTTGAGTCCCACTTACTTGCGTTTATGTGGGTGTTTCTATCTGTAATTGCACGTTTTCCGAAAACCTACCTTGCGCTACGTGTCATATGATCGATTGATCAGGGAAAGTCGAAGGGAACTCTGGATGTAGTCTGTGTGTCTCAGTGATAATAATCCGACATTAAATAAATATGACACGTGCAATTGTCAAACAATAACGACCCCTTTGTTGGAAAATAATTCTTATTCACCCACGCATCAATATCCCCTTTGGTTCTTTCTTCCAGTGATACTTACGCGGCAACTTGTAGCGCCACCATATCGATGTCAACAAAATCGTCTTCATTTTCTGAGTTTGATTCTTCCTCTTCAGCTAGAGTGTCAAGGATTCCTGATATGAATATAAAGAAGATATAAATATGTCTTTTAAATCGATTATGTTCTGAAATTATTTTAAGTATTCAAAGCGAAAAAAGTCGTCAAATTAATAGTGTGGTGTGCTGCATGGAAAACACTCAAAGTAGGTTAAAAAAGTATTGCATGAGATCCTTAATCTCTTTTAAAATTACGCGGAAAGTGAGCGTCGCATTGGTCTCTTTCTGTCACTCATGAAATAAATTCAAGAAATGAAAGGCCGAATGACATCTACAATTATCCGAAGACAGCAATCCCCATAAAATTGCAAGGAACAAATAACTTTTTAATAGATTCGCCTGAAGTATGAATTGAGTGCGGTGGAACTGGATACAATTCTTCATCATGAAATGAATAAAAAACTTACTAAGTTTGGCTCTCAGTATGTCGAGCATTTCTTCATAATATGTGATACTATCTTTAAGATTTCCAACCACGTGATTTAAATTTCCCAAATTCGCCAATGCCTTTCCAATGCCATTTTGGTCATTTAGCTCCTTGGCAACCGCAAGCCTCTCCTTGTTGCAGTTAAGCGCTTCTTCGTAGTTCGTTTCAAGCTCATAAATGTTTCCAAGATTATTATAGATCTTTGCCAACGGTCGCTTTTCGTCTCGTTCCTTCGCTATGTTCAAAGCTGCTATAAAATGCTCTTTCGCCGTTTCTAAGTCACCAGTAATTTTATACAAACATCCTAGGTTACTTTGGGCTCTTCTCTCGCCCTTTTCATCCTTTAATTCTTGTGATAAGGAGAGATGTTTTCCATGGTATTCCTTCGAAGTTGCATAATTTCCCAGTTTATAATAGGCAAGGCCAAGAAAACTCAAGGCGTCCGCTTCGGCTTCTCGGTCATTTTCCTCGATGGCATCGGTAAGACAAGTCCTCAATTCTTTTATCTTCTCGTAAATCTCATCTTCAGACTCTTCGACAACTCTAAAATTTTTTGGGTCGTTTTCTTCCATAAAACTTATTCCTTCACAAAATATTCATTGCTGTTCGCTTCCTAATTCGAAATCACTTTGCGAATGCTTAAAAACAGACCTAATGGGTCGTAAAATGCTTTATGTTAGTTGATATTTCTCAGCCAATCAAATTATTAGATTTCATCGTTTAGCAGGTGGTAAAGCCGAGCGTGTAGCATTTAATTGTGTCAGTCTACTACTTAGATTACCATATTCAAAACCAGACCGAAGTCAATACAGGTATCTCTTTAAACAGACACAGTGATAATTACTTTTTTTCTCTTAACAGGGCAATGTAAGCGGCAGAAAAACTACGCTGATAGAAATCTTTCTCGGCTAAATACACTTAAATATCTATTTAACAGGTGAGGAATTTCCATAAGCAAAGAAGCAAAGTGAGAGCATGATGGAAAGAAAGTAATCCAAAAATTGAAGAAGTTGCAAAATTATAAGAGCATCATTATCAGAGAATACTAAGATATTTCTAATGAGTCTGATTAACAAGGTGCTGACCACTTAGTAACCATGTGAGATATTATGTTTGAATTCAAAGCTTTTAAATAATCGTATACTAGACGAAACAAATTAACATCTTGCACTCACCACAAGCACTCAGGAGTCGTTCCCCATGGCCCTACAAAAGGGAAATTTTGCACTAACGAAAATTTATGACTAAATTGCTAATTCAAGTTTCCTTTCATCATTTTTCCCTCAAAGTATGAGTTGTTAGCAGCATTTTAAACTAAAACCAATACGCATAAAATCTATTAAACATATTTTTGCAAACTTTTCTTAAACTAAGGTATAGATGAAGAATGTATTCAAATCTAAAGGAGTTTATCCTTTCTTTAGTCAAACTTAACATTCGCAATATTTTTACCAAGAAGATCCTTCAAGTAATCAATACTTTTGATGATTATTTTCAGATTGTACCGTACTGAGTTTACAACACCACTAGTCAAAGAGGTTTCTAGAAAACTCACGCCACTATTTCAATCAACCAAATGCTAAATAAAACCGTTTTGTCGCGCTCCAAGCAGGTTGCCTGTTGTCACTTTGAGTCCTCTTTGGTGAATGATGGTTAATAATTAGCCTTTGTTCCGAGTAGTAGTTGGAGTTACTTTGGTGTCGGTTTTTGGCACTCAATTAAAAAAAATACCAAAAAAACAATAGGCTATTTGTGTCAAGTAAACAACTAAACAAGCTTGAAATAACCACACAAAAAGATGAATTGTCACTGGTAGTTGCCTCCGCGTTGTATTATTGCTGCGACTTGTCTTGAAAATAGTACAAGTGGAACGAATTGCGTTGTTCTATTGGCTGTGTTCTCTATGTGTAGCAAATATTACTACTATACGTCAGGGCAATTTTCTTATACCGAGCGGGTTTGTATTCCTCTCACACTAACGACCAAACTGCGCCCACTATGCAAGCTAAATATGAACAGACTTGGGGATAAGGGAAGCCCGAAGGCGATGTAAAAGGTGATGTATGTCAAGTCCACTCAGCATACAGTATCCTTTTCATCTAATAATATAACAGGCTAATCTCTGTTATAAGATAATTTGGTTCTCTCAAATGAGTTCATAATTTAAATTGATCACCGAAAAGGGTTTCTAAAACTTCCGTGGCCAATTTATATTATCATTTTAATTAATGAAACCAAATTTCATTAACCTTGTAATACCCATCCATGAAGTCTGAGAAGAGACATTTCTAGAACCTTAAAGTAATATCATGTAGAGTGCCAAGGACCAAAGTCACCATTATAGACAAATTGTTCCAATAGAGCTTAATGTAGATTATGGAGCTCTTCAAATTAGTATCTTATCATGACAAAGCAAAAGATTTTGTGCGAACATTACGCGGTTACACGCTTTGTAGGTCTTGTCAATAGCTCAAGTTGCGAATTTAAAATTCATTTCGAAAAAAGATCGCAACAAAAAGGTATGAGCTATCAAACTTTCGTTCTTTTTCCCCCGTAACCTCACGAACAGGTCCCTTTCTTTTATGTCGGCCTTCAAAGTTCAATTCAGTCTTTGGATATTTGCATCGAATGTGGAAGAAACGTTTGGTAGTAACTGATCTTAGCCCAACGGTCCTTACTTCCTGAACAAGAGTAGTATTGAAAGTGCAACCAATAAAAGGTGATTCATGCCTTTACACGGTGATTAAGTTGCACCGAGGAAGTAGTATAAGAGCGGAAATGTGTGTTGAACATACCGACTGCAATCGCTAATCGTTTCAGTAATTCATTCTTAATTGCAACTAAAGGCAACAAGATTGAACTTGATAAATTCTACCAGCTAAGTATAACCTTCAGGACGTTAATAGTTAACATGCCTGCAAAGTACATGTACTACAATTTCAAGTAGAACATGCATAGAATAAAGTAAGCGGAAGATAACCTTCTACAAAAAATATCAACAACAACAATCAAATATGCTATGGAAACTACACGCGAGGAAGTTTGAATTATGCGCAACGAAAAGCTCGCCAGATAAAAATCTTCCGACGTAACCCCTTAATACAGCTGATAAATTATGAATTTGAAAGTCAAGTTTAGCTTCTGAGACAATCAAAATAATAATAAAAAAAAGATTACTGCAATAAGTGTTCAGTTAACTTGCTGTAACGATTGCTAATGGTAAGGACGCCATTTTGAAAGTATGTCACTTACGAAGGCAGGGGACTCCTAAATGTTCATCGTTCATCACTCACAGTACAGCATTAAAAAACATTATAACTAGATATCCTCATTTGTAGTGGCTTCAGGGTGCTTTTCTTTCCATTTAACCACGTCATGGAGGTATTGTTCGTTCGCTTTTAGGCTTTCCATAAAGAATACCTCCCTTTCATCAGCCGACATTTCCTTCCATTTTTGACCCATTATCTTCGTTCGCTCAATCACAGACGAAGCGTTCACAGTTTCTGCGTTTTTCTTCACGAAAAGGAGAAAAGGAGATAGAGGCTTCTTTGGGTATTCTAGGAGTTCTTGCCTTGCATTTGCGAGTTGTCGTAATTTTGGACCTTGTAATTTCTCCAGAAGAACTCGCCTCTCGGTGTTCAGTCCTTTCCACAAATTCATGACTTCCCGTTTGTATTCCTCTTTCAAAACATCGTGTCTGTGTTTCAATTGCACTTTCTCAGCACTCGAAAGAGTCTTCCATTTCATGGACAAATGTGTCAAAATTTCAGTGGGACTTTTTCCTGAGGCAACATCACCTTGGACTTTGGAATAATTATCTGACACAAATAAACCAAACAGTCCTGGAGGTTTGCTTGGAAGCTCTGGAAGCAAACCATCAACAATCGCTTTACATGCTCTCCTTTTACTTTCAAATGTAGTTTTCCTCTTGCTTGGCATTGCGTAAGGTATTTTGTCCGAATATTTATCGACAGCGAAACGTCTCGTGCCGCGAGATATCCATTGAATAGCAACCGATGGCTTCTTTAGCGAGTGGTTGTAATTGATGATTGTACGAACCAATTTTGCTCTAGTGGTGAATAACTGTCGAATTGACCACCTTTCTGGTGCTTTACTTGTAAAACAGAGAGTTAAACTCATTTTAAGCTTAACTGAAACTTGTGTGCGAATATTTAGCTCATGCAATGAAATCGTCCCGCATCATTACGTCAAATCGACCAGCTAATCATGCGAATCAGTTTTTTTTTCAACGTAGTTACTGCCCAATGAGCTTTATCTTCATTGTTATTCAATAACTTATCAGTCTCAAAAAATTCTTTATTTATCAGTATTCTATATTCTGATCTTATTTCTTTGTGAATACGAAGAACCTAGTTCGGATTAGTCTTCTCCATCTTTTCAAAGTGTTCTTGCCGTAGAGAATTAATTTTATCTGGAGCATACAGTTGTTTTGAATTCCAACTTTTACACGCTGGCTACGATGTTTTATCGGCAGCAATAGAATAAGAGATAAAATGACACTTTTCGAGCTCTTTGAAAGAACCACAGAAATTATTCTTTTGTTTGTGGCCATTATGCCTATCATCACCTCCAGGCAAGTAAAATCTTCCCACGAAGATTTCATTGTCCAAGGGTCGCATTCAGGTCACCAAATAAGGTATACAATCTAAATACTAAACTTGTTACGTGTCTGACGCTTGCAGAAGCAGGAAAAATTAAATACTTCTCATCTAGCTAGATGGAAACCGATTATCCCTGAAAATTTGTTAACCGATCTGAATCGGCGTCATCTTTATCATCTGATTAAACAACTGATCTGAGGTCTAGAGGTAAAAGTCGATAATCCTTGGCATTTTATCTACACTCCCAGACAAAACTACTATCTCCCCCTCCCTGCCCCTCTCAATGTTGGTCTGCAAATTAGCATCTTATCAATACAAAGCAAAACATTCAGTGCGTACATTACGCGGTTACACACTGTGCAGGTTTTGTCAATAGCTCAAGTTGCGAATTTAAAACTCATTTCGGAAAAAAGATCGCAACAAACTTTCGTTCCTTTTTTTCCAGTAGCCTCACGAACGGGTCTCTTTATTTTATGTTGGCCTTCAAAGTTCCATTCAGTTGTTAGATATGTGGAAGAAACGTTTGGTAGTACTGATCTTAGCCAAATGGAACCTTTCTTTGTGAACAAGGATGATATTGAAAGTGCAACCAGTAAAAGGTGGTTTAGGCCTTAACACGGTGAGTAAGTTGCACTGAGGAAGTAGTTTAAGAGCGGAAATGTGTGTTTAACATACCGACTGCAATCGCCAATCGTTTATAATTCATCCTTAACTGCAACCAAGGCGACACGATTGAAGTTGATGAATTCTACAAGCGAAATATAACCTTCAGGATGTTGATAGTTAACATGCCTGCAGTGTACATATTCTATATTTTCAAGAGGAACATGCCTAAAATAAAGTTAGCCGAAAGTTGCCTTCTACTCAACCTTTAAAATATTAACAAATTATCAAATATGCTATGGACACTACACGCAAGGACGTTTGAATTATGCTCAATAAAAAGTTTGCTATACAAAAATCCTCCGGCGGAACCTCTTCATACAGCTGATAAATTATGAATTCGAATGTCAGGTTCAGCTTCTAAAACAATCAAAATAGAGGAAAGATTACTGCGATAGGTGTTCAGTTCACTCACAGTACAGCACAATAAAACATTATAACTAGATATTCTCTTTTGATGCGGCATCAGGGTGCTTTTCTTTCCATTTAACCACGTCGTGGAGGTATTGTTCGTTCGCTTTTAGGCTTTCCATAAAGAATACCTCCTTTTCATCGGCCGACATTTCCTTCCATTTTTCACTCAATTTCTTCGTACGCTCAATCACAGACGAAGCGTTCACAATATCTGTGTTTTTCTGCACGAAAAGCAGAAAGGAAGATGGAGGCTTCTTTGGGTATCCTAGGAGTTCTTGCCTTGCATTTGCGAGTTGTCGTAATTTTGGACCTTGTAATTTCTCCAGAAGAACTCGCCTCTCGGTGTTCAGTCCTTTCCACAAATTCATGACTTCCCGTTTGTATTCCTCTTTCAAAACGTCGTGTCTATATTTTAATTCCGCTTTTTCAGCACTCGAAAGAGTCTTCCATTTCATGGACAAATGTGTCAAAATTTCAGTGGGACTTTTTCCTGAAGCAACATCGCCTTGAACTTTGGAATAATTATCTGACACAAATAAACCAAACAGTCCTGGAGGTTTGCTTGGAAGCTCTGGAAGCAAACCATCAACAGTCGCTTCTTCCTTTGTACACGCTCTCCTTTTACTTTCAAACGTAGTTTTGCTCTTGCTTGGCATTGCGTTGAGTACTTTGTCCGAATATTTATCGACAGCGAAACGTCTCGTGCCTCGAGATATCCACCGAATAGCAACCGATGGATTTTTGTCATAACCAAATTTACTGCCGAGTGGTTATAACTGATGAATGTACGAACCAATATCGCTCTAGCGGTGACTAACTGTCGAATGGACCACCTTTCTGGTGCTTTACTTGTAAAACAGCGAGTTAAACTCATTTTAAGCTTAACTGAAACTTGTGTGCGAATATTTAGCTCATGCAATGAAATAGTCAGGCATTATTGCGTCAATTTTCAAACAGACCAGCTAATTATGCGAATCAGTATACAGTTTTTCTACATAATTATTGCACCAGGAGGTTTATCTTTATTGTTATTTAATAACTTACTAGCCTCAAAACATTCTTTATTTATCAGTATTCTATATTCTGATCTTATTTCTTTGTGAATACGAAGAACCTACGAGGGATTAGTCTTTTCAATCTTTTTAACATGTTCTTGCTATGGGGAACTAAGTTTATCAGAAATTGAGTCTAATTCCAACTTTTACACAGAAATTATTGTTTTGTTTCTGGCCATTATGCCTGTCATCGCCTCCAGGCAAGTAAAATCTTTTCAAAATTTTCAGACCACCAAATCAGGCATACAATCTGAATACTGAACTTGTTACGTGTTGTTACCTCTCGTCTAGCGAGATGGCAACCAATACAAAGTTATCCCTGAAAATTCGTTAACCGATCTAAATCGGCGTCATCTCTATCATCTGATTAAACAAACGATCTGAGGACTAGAGGTAAAAGTCGATAATCCATGGCATTTTAGCTACACTCCTAGACACAGTTTTTGATACAATTACTATCTCCCCCTCCCTGCTCCTCTCAATGTTGGTCTACAAGATGGAATAGGAACAAGGGTAATTATTGAACAAACTTGAAAGGGGGAGAGGGGTGAAAAAATATTATATATATATATATATATATTATATATAATATATAACTTTTTATTTTATTATACTCTAGAGAAGTTTTCCACTAATTATGGGAGTGTGGTTTCAATGAACTTCAAAGTCAGGCAAAATTACGTCCTCTACATTTTATGTGTGAGGACAACTCCTGACAACCAACGGTACCAAGGAAAGCTTTGGATGGAAAAATACCACTGTGGATTTTGTACTTGGCAAGCTTGCGCTTTCTAAAGGATAACCACACTTAGATCATAATTTTCCTTCATTGTTCAATTTTCAAAGTTCTCTCCATGTTATTTAATCATTTGAGTAGTGTTTTAAGAGTAGAATAGAATGGTCTTCAAACTTCTTCCATCCAACTTAATTGCTCAGGGCCACAATTTGACCGGTGAAATAGTTTTGAGTCGCGCCTGTTCCGCCGGTGGTAATCCGCTGAAAAACTTGATTCCTGTCAAAAGTTCGATGTCACGAACTCTAGCCGTATTTTCAAGAAGATACTTGGAAGACGATTCATACTGCAAAAAGTAAGAAACGGAAATACGTTTCACAACAATAGAAGAACATTAAAATGAAATAGAAAAGGGTAAAAAAGAAACAATTCCTAGACACGAGCTCCTTGTAGAGATAAGTAATTTAATTTAATACCACGATGGATTTTCGACCTACATGTAAATGTAGCTACTAATTCAGCATTTTAAGGAAAACTTCTGGATGGTTGGATTCAATGAAGCGCTCTATTTCAATATTTTTTGGCGGCTTTTCATTGGGCCCTTGGGTGACCTGCGCAGAACTATTGAAGCTGATTCTCTTGAATCATCTTCTCTCGCCAGCCGTTAACAGAACAAAGTATTTGAAAATCAAGTAAACAAGGAACTGGGAATGAATGACTGACAACCTGTATTGAAATCAAGGCGGACAAAAGCTATTGCACCACGCTTACCTTGAAACAGGGAAGCTTGGGCAAGTGAGGTAATACAAAAGAAATGACGTCAAGTCTTCCTTCACATCCGGGCACTTTGTAATACGGCTTCTTACTGGTGTCACACCGCATGATAATTTTATAGTAATGAGTAGGTATGGCCACTGAACTGGTGTCATTTTTGAGCCACCTTTGAAATAAAAACGGAAAGCGTAAAAAAAGATCATTTGGTTTTAACAACTGAGTTGATAATGTAAATTTGACACTGCAAGAGTTTCAAAGCGGGCGTTTCGAGCCTTAACTCTTGTCAGCGAATCGCTCTGACGAAAGGCAAGCGCTCGATACGTCAGCTTTGAAACTCCTAATAGTGGCCGATTTACATGTATTTTATCAACTTAGTTGATAAAACCAAATCATTTTGTTAGACTCTCCGACAGACGCAGCCGCACAGTTTCGTTAGAAACCTACCCCCCCCCCCCCATAAAAAAAGGACCGGACGAACTTTACCTTCTATCAGTATCGATTACTTGACGAAGTTTCTTCACTTACTAAGACATCCGACGTGGACCGTGGTACACACCCCACCGCGTTATAAAGATAATTTTAGTTTGAGTACTAACCTTGTTATGCTCTCATCTTCATCTCGGAGTCCATCGGCATTCTCGTCGAATATTGAACCACTTATGACGTAAACATGTGAATAGTTTGCTGCAAGATCCCGGACCATATCTTCAGCCTTCAACCAAATACCTGACGAATATATGTACGATAAAATGTTAGCTGGATTTCGCAGAATGTTGAAAAACAACCACAGACAAGGATAAAATCAAACCATCAACACCTTTTAGTCAAAAAAAAAATATGTTTTTTTCCGTCTCGTCCGGAACGTCGCACGAAGAAAAAGGGCGACAATTACAAGGAATCGAACTCTAGAGCTTCGGACTCCGCTGTTTGATGTTGATCCTCAGCTACTGAGAACGTTCATCTTTCTCTATTTAATATGCAATCTCAAAATCAATAATCATTCAATTTACTCTTGTGACGTTCTTGAAATTGCTGATCCTGGTGTTAAGGATCCAAGGTGTGTAATGCATAGTTTCGTTCCATTATAGTTTATAGTGTAATGTGTATCGTCATCTTTGGGTATAAATGTTTTGTTTTTTTTTTTTACCCTTACCTGCGTTGAATCCATGGTATTGTGGTGCTATGTTAGATAAAAGATATGTATCCATCCATGCCTCATCATTTTCATTAGAAGAGTCAAAGTCACCATTCGGCGCCATGTGTCCGCGGTCAACACCCGAATACTTGTAGTGTTTGCAGAGCGAGGCCTGAGAATCGGTAAGGCGAGTATCTTTTCGGAAACAATCTCTTCGGGTTCCTGACTGTGAGGCTTTCTGGGTAAAAGAGAACATATAGCAACCTGTGAGACCCACACAAATTTCAGAGGGTTTCTTGTCCGTTGATAATCTCTGAGATGTCGCAATGACACTGTCACTGCCAGTGACGCGATTAAAAGGCTGTAGGAAGATAAGAGCTCTATCACACATCCTCCTAACGCGCTAACGTTTTCATGGCGGTTCCCAAATGTTTACTAATTACCTTCTCATCAAACTGAATGATCCTGGTTTTACGTACCTCTCCATCAAGTCTATAGGCCACCCATAAAGGTAAACGTAGAGAAGTGCTATAGCCTGTCACAAAACCCTTCTGCGCTAGAATACAACCCTCTCGACCAGCTCCACCCTCAGGTACTCCCCACGGGAGGTGTGTCGCCTGAAATTCAGATACTAGGATAAAAACAAACAAACAAACATACATAAAACAGAACAAAAAACGAAAATAATATCAATGATAATTATAATAGTTCCTTATGAGAAAATAACTCGACTGTGGGCGTTTACTTGTGGATGAAATGTTAGTGTAGTTTACGACTAAGTCTAACTCTAAGACTAAAATGTCCTTTCAGCAAAAACATTAAGAAGAGGAGGCTGCGTGGCCGAAGAATGTGAGCGATGTAGACTTGTAATCCGAAGGACCTTAATGCCACAAGTCCAGCTCTTCTTTCTTAAAGGCAGTTTCGATTTAAAGTCTCTCAGCTCTGTAAAAAAAGACCTAACTGGTTTGCCTTATGCCGATTTAAAAGTTACTTCTGCTTATTATAAAACCGTTCTTTTGGTATAAGTAACCACGTTATCTGCAGCAAATTTTGCAATGGATGGCAAAAAGTAAATTTCAATTTGTTGTCTTCAAGAATTTTAGACTAATATCGAAAGTAAACTATCGCAAATGTTTAAATTACTTCTTTTTTCATAAAAAGTTGTAGTCAAAATGGTCTGCGCAAAGTCTCTAAAAGATGCAAACAAGTACGTATAACCAAAAATATGTCTTTACTCTCTTGGTCTGACATGTCTAGCTTCTTGTCACTTAGAATAACTTCTGCTCTTTTATCCTATTCAACAAACAAAGAGAAAAAAGGACATTACCACAGGAACGTGAATTGCTCCTCCCAAAAATTGTATTCAGTTTACCACATGTACTAACAGGCCTTAATTCACGTTGTGTTTCTCGCAATTACCACTACACTTTGCATAAAATCATTATCTCAGTTTAAGCTTTGACCAGATAAAATTAACAGATCAGCATCAAATTCAAATGTAAAAGCGAATCTATGGTGACATTGATGAATTGAAAAATTCAGATGAATCACCAGTTAATAAAACGAGAGATATCCACTTTAAAAGGATAAACAGGTAGGAACCCTTGAAACGAATTAGCTATACATTTTCTACTCCTCCCCCTATTTTTGCTCTTTTGATGTACTCTAAAATTCATTGGACAAATAAGTTCTTCAGAACAGATGAGTGTAATACCTTCTAGAAAAATCGGTGAGTCATTCGCTACTGATCATACTTCTCAAGTTATAAACTGCATTTAATTGCAGTTATATTGAAATAGAATGCGATTGCAGTTATACTGCAACCGCATTCTATTGCAACTATAGGGAAAAAAAACAGCATTTCACCACTTACACAAAATTTACAAATGCACTGACTGCAGTTGTCAAAACCTGCAGGTTTTCGGCAGATGTCAGTTCTCATTAACTTTCCGTCGGACTCAGTCTCAAGGACATCAATATCGACACTTGGATCCAGTAGATGCCGCAAGCTACCAGGTGTTCCATCGTTCGGGGCTGGCTTGAGCCCGAGTATATCTGAGAACGAATAGAGACTGATTTTTTCAGAAATAGAATGTAAAGACTTCCTTCCAGGAACCAATTTCGTTCTATTTTGCTGCAAATTTTTAGTACGTCTCCTCGCTAGAGTCTCCACGATCAAGCATCGCTTCAAAGCGAGCCGTGATTCAGAGAGTAACTCAAAGGACAGTGGAGGATTTTGTCGTGGCTCGCTCAAACCTCAGCAGAGTGTGAAAAAGCAGCATCGGTTTCCTAGAAAAACCGTGTTATTCAACGAGGTGTTGTAAGAGGGGGGGAGGGGGGGGGGAATTTAGACTTTCTAGAGGCGCCAGGAGTAAACAGTGATCTACATTCCTTCACCTTTTGAGGTCAATTCCCGACTTCATTTCTCAGTTAGCCGAGGAGAAATTTATTGTCATTTTGAAGCCAATTGTCGACTTCATTTTTCTGTAAGCCGAGGAGAAAACGTAGCCAAGATTTAATTGCGAGATTAAAACGGACACCGTGTCGCTTTTTTAACGAAAATTCTTTTGTAAACGCCCATTTTGCAGTCTTCTATATCCTGACTTCATTAACCATTTCACGTATTTCGTGATTGTACAAAAGTAGTTCTTTCTGGATATTTCTAGAACATTCTACCGGGTTATATAATTATGATGTAACTCTACAAGAATAGTTTCGTTGTAAGCTTCCAGAAAGTTCTAGAATACTTTGTAATTATATTTATTATATCACCCCTTCGAACTCGCTCGCGCAATCCCATAGAAAACTACAGTGAAAGCTGACGTGTGTAAGGCCGGACAGGCTGATCAGAGCTGGAAGCTGCGCATCTCGATAGGTAGCCTATATTCTACTTTAAAAAAGTTGATCTCTCGACCACTGACAGTTCGCCAACTAGTGTACTAACGGATTACCGCGATCAGAGGTCAAACGAATTTAGCAAACGGCAACCAAAAACTCGCCAAACAACGTTTGAGCAAACAAAAAGCTTAGACCAAACTCTAGTGAGGTAACCTTGATAAGGCGAGTTGGCTTTAGCTTGACGTGTTAAGACATCTAAGTGCTTGAAAACGAAAAGCAAATTACCTGCCATCATGCCGTAAAGTTCCGTACTGAGGAAATGATCTACTACTTCTCCTTTCTTGAAAGCGGGACCATGAGCTACGAATAGAGTCTGGAAACAAAGAAAAAAATGATGATGTATCACTTTTGCCGTATTATGATTGGCAATAATGCGTAAGTCGGCTGTGGATGGTCGATCGAAATTGACCAATCAACAGACAAACTTTCGGATCCACCTTTTAATTTTGTCCCACAAACTAATGTCAAAAACATCGGCAGCGTTGATGATATTTAGCATTATTATACATATGTAATTTGTTTTAAGGCACAAACGAAAAATATCCTAAGTGTACCACTGGAAGGGAAGGCAGCCAAAGGACAAAATCAGACTATAATTTACGACATGCTTGAGAAGTAAATTACATATACAGCCGGGTTTAAATTCAAAGTTAAGGATTTTGTGTATCGTTTAATATTGTTGATACCCGCATGTTAGGATCTATGTTGTCGTAACCATGATCTCCACCATCACAGAACCAGATCCCACTAGTGGAACTGGAAAGAACAAATCAAATAAAACAAATCAAAACTGAGAAATAAACAAATGAATAAAGGGGGTAAGTTTCTTAAGAATCTATGCTGCTGGGGGTAGTTATCACTGATAATAGCCCCCAGCTGGGGGGTAATTGGCTACTTCAAAGAGATTCTAAAGCTGACGTTTTGATCGTCAGCCTCTCCTCTCTAGCTCTGACGGAGGGCTAACGCTCGAGAAGTCAGCTTTGAAACTCTTTACGACGGCCAGTTTACATTTTCAACTCATTTCATAAAACCAAATTATTCTAACTTGATTAAATCACCTTTTTCGGACAAAAACGGTTTCAACAATATCGAGCCATGAACTCTACCGCATTTTAGTGACTTATCTCCCTCCATGAGGCGTTTCCACACATGTATCTTTGTTAGAAATAATTAGTACAAATGGGTATTAATGATCATTACATAACGCACTGCACTCACTTGAATCCTACCAGCCAGCCGTCTTCCGGAATCAGGATAATTCGTCCAATCCTCCTGAAAGATAGCGAATCAGAGACGCCTTCAAGAACTGTCTAAAACAATTACTGGAATGCAGTCAATTCAGATGAATTATCCTACACAGGCACTGGCAGCTGCTGGTTATTTCGTTAATTGCGTGGTCAATCTCCTTTCTCTCACACGCACAGAACGCAAAACTCAATTGCTAAAAGTGCTTCTCACCCCCAACCCTTAAATCCAAGAAACCAGTATCAACTACGACTCTCCCGGCAGCAGATTTGGCAAAAAGCAAAATATTTTACGACCAAAAAACGTCAAGGCTAATTCTTCAAATGCTATGATTTTCGGTGAAAGGCACTTCAATTCATTCCTTATTTCATCCTCTTTTTTCATCTTCTAAAGGTTTGGTACTTCTTATTTCTAAGTCCGAAGTACCAGCCACTTAATCGCCGAAGACTAAAATTCCAGTCCACTTGTTCGTCGAATTTCAAGTATTCGTTCGTCGTCCGATAGTGAAGTTATTGCACTTATAGGGCCCTCATTCACCATTAGCTACACTAATACTCTTCCTTCTTCAACTTTCCGATGGATTTAAAGTGAAGTTATTAAAAAACCGAGAACTTTATTATGTAAGTTAGCACCTATTGTGCTTCTTTTTATTTCGGCCTCAAATCTCATCCAAGATTATGCCGTTACATTGAACTAACAACAAGCGTAAGTAAAATGAAAACAAAAAGACGAAAAGATCAAATTCATTTGAGACTTATCATTAATTAAAGAAAACTTTTGGAAACTGAACAATAAACCTCATGTTTACCTGTTATCAGAGTAGTGAAGTCGCTTGGGAAGGTTCTCTTTTAAAAACACGCGAAAGTGTGGATTCTTACACTAAAACGAACATTTATAAATACGTCAAGGATTTAGTTAAGTTACAAAAAACTTCTTCAGAGGCACAAAGAAAATTGGGCATACTTCACAAGAGAAAAAAAACCCTTTCCAGTTTTGGAAAAGATGACAACAATAACCGAAATATGAGTCTAAATCACACATTAACGCATTAATCCACAGGGAGTGGTAATATAACTTGCCAATTGACAGGTGGCCCGAGCGTACTCTGTAAGATTTCACGGTTTTAGGCAGAAATATGTGTATAGCCTGATGTAGCACAAGCCGAATTTCCACGCTACAAAATCTATCCCTGTATCCATAAGTATTATAACACTCTTTCATTCATTGAATCCCGCAGTATGGCCGCTCGTAATGAGGCTAACGACAACGCGAATTAAGCCATAATGGATGAAAAAACGGAGGACCCCTCGCGCCGACACAGAAGAATTTGGAAACTTTTGCCGCTCGAACAATCGTATTCAGGTAATATCGACGTCAATGAACTCAATAGCGATTCAATACTAAAGGACGGGGATAGATTTCATAGCGAGTAAATTTTGGCTTGTACTGCTCCAGCTGATGCACATATTCAGCCTTTCGGATATTCATGTTTGTGACCTTCACATCCTGGAATCACATACAGTATGCTTGGGTCACCTGTGGTCGAATACCATAAATAAATACTTCTTCATTATTTAAATAATATATAAACATATGAAGTTTGCTCAGTTGAAAATTTATTTTGTAAAGTTTGCAAATATGAAAAACAACTTACTTGTAAACGAGCCACAATTTCTTCCGCTGAAACTGAAAGAAAAATAGCCCACTGCACAAAATAAACGTTCTAACACTTCTCGCTCTCTCTTTTTGATAAAGAATCGTGCTCTTTTTTCGTTTTATTGTAAATCGAAATCCTTTCGTTGGCCTGAAAGCATCAGTTGAATGTTTTGGTACAGACTTTAGTCAACCACCTTTCAGGAAAGCGAATTTCATAATCATCCAAGACAGGTACGAACACTTATTAAACATTCTCCGTCAAAAAAAAATCATCTATTCTAAAGACGGGCGTTAGCCTTCGCCGAGGGTGTATGTTACCCCTCCCTCCCTTCCCTACTGAACGCGTTTACATACCTCCCGGTTTCGGATTCATTGTTATGAATGCCCCTCCGTACCACTGAGGGGAATATACATCATCGAGAGTTACATTGTACTGAAAGAAAGTTAAAAACGTTGTTTGTTAAGGCGTAGGTCCTCGTGTTAAATTCTTGAATGATCAAATTTACTGGCACAAACGAGTCCGATATTTTAGTGGGATCGTATTAAAGTCCAGAACTACTCTGCTCATGACTTTAAAAAAAATCCACGACTGAAACATATTCGTCAAAAAAAGCCGAAAATTTTGTGCAAACGAAAGATTCCGAAAAATTTCCGACAAGCTGAAAAAACAAAAACAACAATAATATCAATTCGATTTTTTCCAGCTGGGCTCCGCCTTAGAAACTGTTACGTCGCGTATTCGCTGCCATCTAATTATTGTACATATTTTGCTTTCAAGTTCAGCATGGGGATGGTAGACATAAAACTAAAAAAACCACGAAAATTCACGTGATCCAAAATGACGACACACAAAAAATTCTGCTTTCATTTTGGATCTTCTTCCTACTGACTTTAAAATCGACTACAGACGCTGCCGTTTGGAAAAAAATTGCCTCAGCAAACACGCAGCACATGCAAAACTAGAGAGTTCATTTCACAAGAAGTGGCTTAACATCCCAGTCTCATTGGTAATCTATTGTTTGGTTGTAAAAAAAAATCATTATTTAATTCACAGGGGATAAAAAATTGTTTGGTATGGGGAGCATATGTCGGCTCTAAAGATGACAGTTCTTGGTAATTTTTTTCCAGTTTACGCTCTGTCAATAAAAAAAAAACTTGCAACTACTTACTGCGTCTGTATAAACGATTCGCTGGCAACTTTTTGGAGCGATACCTAACAAAACATATTCAAATATTTGTTTAAAGTTCGTATCTCCAAGAAACAACAAATACCAAGTTAAGAAGGCACCATACGTTTACTGATAACGGAAACAGAGACGGAGTTCTAGCAAAAGCGACTTTTCTCTCCTCAGTTTCGAAGCGTGGTAGATACCCTTACCATTTCTGTACTGAAATGGTGAGAATTAGGGAGTTACCCCCTATGGAGTCAGAGGGCGGGGTACCGAAAGTTGGGCCCATCCATGTACCAAAAGTGATTTGAGATTTAAAGCACGGGCGCTGACTTTAAGGCAACCCAATCACACGAGAAAGCTTAACTGGATAATCCAATTATCGTACCGTGATCTCCAACAAGGACCATGTTTACTTTGTCCTGCATGGATCGATCCTTTAGTCCCTTCCACAGTCTTCCAATCATATCGTCCACTCTTTTGTACTGCGCATTGGTCTATAAAAATGTAGAAAAAGTAAGAAAACTCCACTTATGTCCAGAAATGCGCGAAGTAACTCTAAAGTTAGAATTGACAAAATTTCTTCAAACCAAGTGAATGTTGACGGATTTAACGCTTTCGGTGAATTTAATCAAATTCGTCATAGCGAAATCAGCTCGGCGGATTTGACGACGAGTTTTCGCCATTTTCGTTTCTGCATACATTTCTGGACGTATCTTTAAAACTTTACAAAGAAAAAAAAAAACAATTGGCAAAGGTCATGTACACCTTTTGGGTACAGGTACGAGGGAGGGAACGGCCCTTTATATATATATATATTGAAATAAGATAGGCTTGCCTTTCGAATGTCAGCTCTATCCTTCAGAGATCCCCCCTTCCTTCCCCTGTTTGGGTTTTGAGTCTTTGTATTAGCTAGGGCGGACAAAAAAGCTGTCGCGACCCAATATTCAGTCATGATGTCAAATTTTGGTTACTCTCAGAATAAGTTTCCACTTCATCCCTCCATCCGTCCCTAGACAACCCAATTTTTCTCGCCTTTTTGTTTTCAACATTGTATAGTGGGAAGAGAGGCTCAAGGAAATAATATAAGATCAGGAAGAAATAATTCTCTCCCATTTTATCTCGACAAGAAAGAATGAAGAATGTTGGCATCCAATCTTTTAACAATGATGATGAGAAACTTTCCTTTCTAGACCGTCCGCTTAAGTGTACCTCGTAATTTAGGTGGGACAGCAAAGCGTCAAACTTACCTTCTCTGAGTTTGGTCCTGCGCGATGCTCAATGTAATCAGGTTGATGGAAATACAGAGTTATGAACGAGGGCCGCCTGGGCACCAAATGACCAAAGTTAGTGCATTTAAGTAAAAATGGATTTTTAGCAGCCTACAACTAATATTCTCAAAGAACGCATTGTTTATGACATCAAAAATGGTCGGCAGACGGCATAGAAAAACTCAGAGAATATACTCTCTGGACAAATGTAAGGTCACAGCTCTACTGATTTTCCGAGATGGAAATACCAACTTCTTCCTCTTAAACTCTCAAAATCAGCCTTGCACGAATTCGGCGTCGCAACGTTTTGTCATTGCATCACCAGGAGCAAAAGTTAATTCGAACCTTACATTCCTCGAGAAAACATTAATCTTAACTGTAGATTGAAGAAATGCAAAATGGTTTCCGTGTTTACATAGCCTGATGTAAACACGCGGGAGGTTGGGAGAACACGAGATAAGCGTAGGAAACCACGACGCGAAGTAGATTAGCAATAACTAATGAAAGAAATGACTAAGAAATAATAGAATGAAAGAAATAACTAATGAAAAACCGTGTTTACATACGCTCATGTAAAATGGTTTTATGGCCAATCAGAGC